CCGGCCCCCACGTGCCCGGCCACGTGGGCTGGGGCGGCGTGCCAGGGTCCCCAGGGCACGGCTGGACCTCAGGCGCCAGCGGGACACCGACCCGACCCGACTTGGAATCCCCGTCCGCCGGCGAGCCCGGGCGACCTGGACGCGGCGGCCGCGGCCGAGCCTCAGGTTCCCGTCCAAGGTGAGCGGGGCTGGGGCGGGGCGGGGGCGCGGCGCTCTGCAGGTGGGTGAATGCGGGCGGCTTAGAAACTGGGGGCGCAGCGCGCCTTTCCCGGGGCCGCTACTCGCCCGCGTCCCGGGCGGGCGGAGCCGCACCTGGGCCGAGTTGGGGCGCTGCACCTGCGCCCGCCAGGTGACGCCCGCGTGCGGGAAGGACCCAGCCGCGCCGCCCCGAGACGCGCTGCACATTCTCTCGCCTGTAGTGGGATGTTTCCTTCGACTGTACCCGACGGGCGCCTTTACATTTCTCCACCCTTTGAGTTTTCACCAGCTCCTGTCCGCCCTGTGAAGTGTAGAATCAGCAGATTATCGTATGTTTAGTGAACGTGACCAGCAGCGTCTGTTCGTGCATGTGATGTGTGTCGCTGACATCACCGGAGAGTTAGTTTTACACACCATCTGATCACCTATGCGTGGCGTGGAGTGACTGACTGAGGAGTGACTTATCGGCCCCTGGGAGCTAGGCCTGGGGCGCGCTGCTGTTTTTTTGCTGCACGGAACTTTCTGCCACGCGTACCTGTGCAGGCTTGAGCCTTATGTTTGTAGGTATGTGGGGGCAGCAATTAGGGGTGCCCGCAGCCAGCCACGCTGGGGTATAGCAAAGCCAAGGAAGTCGCGGCCACCAGCTTGCTTTACATGTGAGGGTTTGAGCCGGTGACATTTACCCTCCAGATCCTGGCACCCGCCCCCAGCCACTGCACCTGCGGTGCTTGAGATCTGGCGCAAACCCCCCTGCCGAGCCTTAATGGCGGGAAACACTTAACATGTGTTCAGAGTTAAAAATGTGTCCATGATCCTTGCTTCTGTGGCTTGTTATAGTTCGGTGGCCCCTCTCCTTTTTCTTTTCATTGGCTTGTTGGAATTATTGTGCAGGCGTGCCAGAGGGGGAAGGTGCAGTTAGGAAAGGGTAAAATTCATCAGGGTGCTGAGCCCAGCCAGCACTAACTGGCAGGTGGGAGACCGCAGATTCTGACAGGTGCTTCCCCCTTCTGTGGGACTACTGCTGTCGGGGGAAGGAGGGACGGTGCCCTGCCAGCTGACCAGGCCAGGTTCTCTCTCCCTGGATGGCGGGAGACGGGTAGAGAAGAGTCCGGAGTCCTCAGTGGCTACGGGAGCAGCGGGCTGGTCAGGAGAGGTCTGCTGCGCCCTGTGGTCACCTGGGGCAGGCGGGGAACGAACTCACGCGGAAGTGGCTTTAGCTTCTCAGTGCTGTGCTTTAACCGCTGCGCCACCAGGGAGGGCCTCTTCCGGGCTTTTAATGGTGTTTCTGCGCCCTTTGTAGTGAGGCCACCTGGCGCAGGGCAGCGGATCTTTATTCCCTCTGGGCTTGCTCTGGCGCCGTCTCCTGGCCTCCCCGCTGTGCCCCTTCTGCGCCGCCGCCCTTAAGTGCTCCACCTGCAGGCGCAGGTGTGCCCACTTGCCGTGACCACACCATACTCCAGGTGTCCACCATCACACATACCCCGAGCCCACGCCCCCGGGCGCCTCCTGCATTGGAGGCCGCAGGTGATGGCTGCGCAGGCCAACGGCTCAGAAGCCTGAGCAGTCTTCGTTCACCCTGAGAGGGGACTGATAGAGAGATTTGTACTTTGACAGACAGGTAGGATGGCGGGGTGTCCGGGGCTAGGGGCCCTGAGAGAGACTGACCTTCTGACCTTCTGTGACCCCAGAACTAGAGAGCTCAGGTGTGAAGTGGTCTGAGCCTGTTTATCTTGCTGGTGGAGAAAGCCCGAGAGGCCCAGCGCTGGCTGACAGGCCTGCCTCCTCCCTCGCCTTCCCCGGGCTGAACAGGTGGGCCCAGTGCACAGCAGAGGGCTTCCTTCCAGTGGGTTCTGCCCTCTGTGGTTCTGGGGACCCTCCTGGGCCGGGCCAGCCTTGGCACTGCCCATCCAAGGATCCCTTCCCCACCCAGGGGAGGCCGAGCTTCTAGTGGGTGAGGAGTCGTGGTTTGCCGGCTCTTCCGGGAAGATCTGGACTCCAGCACACGGCTCCCTGGGGCCGGGGCGTCCTGGTGGCACCCAGATAATGGACCTGACCCCAGGCCCCCGGAACCAGGAGGGCTGAAGTCGATGGCGCCTGCGGTGTCCTGGAAGGTGACGCTTTAAGTGGGAAAGTGTCGACGCGATCTGGTGACAAGGCCCTGCGGCAGGCGGGAACTCCTCTTTTGTTGAGCCTAGATCTGAATCATATATTGGTATTTACATTTCTTTTACAAATCGAGTCTCTTTCTTTTAAAACGCACGTATAGCTTCATTTTCCCTTGAGTCCCCGTGGGATCCTGAGCCGGAAACAGGAAGTTTTAACCGGCAGATGCCAGGGAATCTGGGTTCTCCCCAAAGAGTGCGTCCGGTGTGTGCATTTCTGGGAAAGGGGTGTCACGGCTTGCCGGGGCTTCTAGAAGGGGCACCCTGGCTGTGCAGTCCTTCCCTCCTGGCGTCACAGGGTTCACCTGGGCCCACCGAGGGCCAGCGTCCCTTTGCAGTTTGGCCACAGTTGAGGTTGCCAATGTGAAGATTTCCCGAGACACTCTCCCCTTCCCACACACCCCGCCTCCCTGCTCTCGGCCCCCAGAGTGGGCGCCTCCCCGAGCAGCAGCACCGCGAGCTGCGAGGGGCTGCAGCTGTGCCTGACCTGCCTGTGTGTCTCATGAAGGCGCTGACTGCCTGGAGGTGTGCTTGGCGGCTGTTGGGGGCTGCACTCTGAGCACCATCCCAGAGCAGCTGAGAGAAATTCATTTACTTGCAGAAAAGAAAAAAAAACAAAAAAACCCTTAGGCGTGGGTATTTAGGTCACCTGAGGCTCTTATTACCTAACCTAAATCAAGACCTTGAAGAAAGCTCACTCAGCCACTCACAGCACCCGGCGGCGGAGGGGTTGGTGAACGGCCGGTGAGAGCCTGGGCCAGGGCGGGCAGGGCCCGGCACGGCGTTTCCAGACAGGGTGAGGGCTCCAGTGCTTGTGGGGTGGGGCTGCAGGCTCCAGAACCTGTGAATTGGGCTGAGCGGGACCCGGGAAGGCAGGGCCACCCCCACATGGGCCCCAGTTTCAACTGGCTGTCCGCATCCTGGCGTTTCCACTTTCTGCCTTGTGGAGGGCATGCGGTGGGCGCTGCTTTACTGTGCTGCTCTGCGGCTGACGGGAAGCTCCTGCACCGGCGCCCGCAGCCACTGGCATCTCTGCTGACGCGCCGCGCAGGCCTTACGCCTGGCGTGTCGGGCTTGTTTATCTTCTGTGAGCCGTCGGCGATCCGAGCCTGTCTCGGATACGCTTTCGCCAGATGTGTGTATTGTGAATTTGCTCCCAGTTTTCCACTCGCCTTTTTTTTTTTTTTTTAAAGATTTATTTATTTGTGCATACAGAACTGGGGTACAGGCCAGAGGCTCAGGGGCGGTGAGAGGCTTCACCAGAGACAGAGTGGGGAGCAGAACAGGCAGATCGATGAAGTACACTGCTGATGGGAGCAGCGGGCGGGTCAGGAGAGAGCTGCCGCGCCATGTGGTCACCTCCCGGGCAGGCGGGAATCAAACTCATGCGGAAGCGGCTTTAGCTTCTCAGTGCAGTGCTTTAACCCGCTGCGCCACCAGGGAGGGCCTCCACTCGCCTTTTAGGGCTCTATCTGGTGTCTTTGAGGTAGCCAAGTTTTAAATTTTGATAGAATCTGTGTTCTCACTCTTGTTCTTTTCCTGGGTCATGCCTTTTTGTACCCTCTCTAAGAAATCTTTGTCTACCTAGGTCACAGAGTGGCTCTAGAATGTTTGTGTATGTGGTGTGAGGAAGGGCTTGACTGTCCAGCTGCTTCCCAGGAGAACAACTCGTTGTTCCAAACCCTGTTGAAGCAGCGAGCTCCCTTTCCAGTGGAACTCCGAGGCAGGGGGCGGCGTTCACGGGTGGGAGCCTGTGTCCCGTTCCCTGAGCTTCCTGTCCGTCCTGGGCCAGCTGCTTGGGACTCTGGATCATTCGATGGGGAGTACTGAGACCCAGTACGGCCAGCCCTCCGACCTGGCTCTTTGTTTGCAAAATCGTCTTGTGTGTTCTAGGCCCCTGTACATCCATGTGCTGTTTAGAACCAGCTCATCATGTTCTCCGAATGCTTGTTGAGACTTGGATTGCGTTGACTCTGTGGAGGAATTTGGAGGAAATTGGTTTCTTGGCCCAAGTGAGTCCTCTGACCCATGAATATTTCAGTTGCTTGCGGCTGGGGCCTAGGAGACTCCAGCTCTCGCCCTGTGAGTTTGTGTGTTCTCCAGCGGAGGAGCGGCTGGGATGTTCGTGGTCACGGTGTGCACCTCCTCTTGGCTCCACCTCAGCACAGATCCCCGCCACGTGCAGGCGCTGTGCGGGGTCCCGCGGGATGTGTGAGCTGGCCGAGGGAGGCGTGGCTCGCGTGACGAGCCTGGGAGTTCAAGACAGGGGTCCCCCAGCCCGGAAGGAGGCGACTCCTGTTTTCTACACCCTTTACATTCGACGCCAGCCACACACTAAATGCTGTCGAGACGAGAGGTGAGCTTTGCACCCCGCGGCCCGTTCCAGAGCCTCGGGCGGGGACGGCAGTCTCCACTCTCGTGTTGGCAGCTGCACATGGTCAGGAGGTTCGAGCGGTTTGGTTTTCCCTTTTGTCTTTTCAGATAAGCTTGGAACAGGCCAGCCAGGTTATCGGGGTACAGACGCAGGCCTGCGGCAGGGGCGGGGCTGGGCGGGCTCGGGGGCAGGTGGCCGCGCTGCTCTTCCTGGCGTCGGTTCTGCAGAGCAGGGCCGCGCCCTCCCGTCCTTCCCCGCTCGCCCTCCTCCCTCCCCGCTGTGTCTGCGCACAGGGTACAGCGCGCTGGACGGTGCCCCTGCCCGCGCCCCAACGGCGTATGTTTGCCATTGTCTCTTTTCTTCCTCTTTCAAGCTCGACAGAGTGTGGGTGTTAGCCGCGTGGCCCCCGCGGCTCTGGCTCCCTCCTTCTAAATTCTGCCTCTG